GTCTAACCTAACCCTATTGATATAGTTTAAATCCTAATCATTTTGTGTATGATTTGTGTGTGAGAAAAATTACTGCACTTCGGAGAGAAATCCGGCCACCTTTGTGATGCCAAAATTGGTGATAAACTTTATGTTTTTGGTCTCTTTCTTGTCTTCCTTTGCGGTGTTTCCTTCTTGCATTTGTGGTTACAAATCATCACCATTATCTTGTCCTTTGTAGATGAGATTGAAAAGCAACTGAGGTAAATATATAGGTTGTAGATCGAAGCCGGTCGAATTGGTTGTTTGGTAGAAAAATGTAATGTTTTCTTGAGCCCAAAAAACACTGTTTTGATGATCCTTGGAGCAAGCTTATGTGATAATTGGTATAAGAGTTTCAAGGTGGTAAATTTGGCTTGTGAAACATACCATAAACCTCCAGGAAACCAGTAGAAACGAGGCAGAAAATAGATCAAAAAATTGTCCCAAAAACTACCCAAAAATTGAGGTTGTTTTCATGATTTTTGGCCAGTCCATAAAGAGTTTGGTGAAACGAAGACCACCGGTGTGATGTACAAGTGCAGGCGCACCAAGATGATCGAAGCGTGAGACAAACCGTCGACACGTGTGGAGGCACGTGAAGCTCATGCGTAGAGAGAGTGGGTGGCGCGTGTGGCACTTTCTGGCATGAAAGGAAAAGAACTTCGAATGGTAGAGGTTCTTTGAGAGAGAGTGCCTTGGCCAAAGAAGCCAATTTTCCTTATTTTGACGTTGTTGATTGTCAGATGTCTTCCACATATTGCCTCTGCATGGCTTTCATCGGGAGTTTCGGATATGAGGAGAAAATAGATCAAAAAATTGTCCCAAAAACTACCCAAAAATTGAGGTTGTTTTCATGATTTTTGGCCAGTCCATAAAGAGTTTGGTGAAACGAAGACCACCGGTGTGATGTACAAGTGCAGGCGCACCAAGATGATCGAAGCGTGAGACAAACCGTCGACACGTGTGGAGGCGCGTGAAGCTCATGCGTAGAGAGAGTGGGTGGCGCGTGTGGCACTTTCTGGCATGAAAGGAAAAGAACTTCGAATGGTAGAGGTTCTTTGAGAGAGAGTGCCTTGGCCAAAGAAGCCAATTTTCCTTATTTTGACGTTGTTGATTGTCAGATGTCTTCCACATATTGCCTCTGCATGGCTTTCATCGGGAGTTTCGGATATGAGGCGTAACAGTGTGTATACAAATAAATTTTGATTTTCTTGTATGCAAATATAAGCTTTGTCAAATGTGCACTATATATTGTTGTTCTGCTTTTTATGAAACCTACAAAAATTCACAACTCTCTCAAACAAGAATGTAACTCGAAAGCATCTAATTAGTGTAAAGGAAAAAGGAAACATATCAGAAAGACAGAAACAGAATTTTCCCTACCCAAATGTTCTTTGGGGGAGAACAACATGTAATCGATGGAGAGAAAAGGTCTTTCATGAAAATTGAGTTGTTCTATCCGATTATTTCACCTAGGTTGCCACATCACTGATGTCTAATAATCTATTATTGTAATGATAAATAGCATTATTCATTAAAAATAGGGTATGGTGTGGGGTAGCGGACCAAATCACAAATCATTGGTATGTGGGGGTTGGGTTGGTCCAACCCAGATCAGTATTAGCATTTAGCACTTACTCAGTTCATAAATAACATTTTGATGGATTTGGTTCATGGGAATTGTTGATCCCAAAAAATGTTGCCAACAGATGCCGAATCCACCCGCGCACACGTGAGCGAAGGTCCTACATGCTAAGACATCTGGACGGTCTAGGACGAATGGATTAGGGACGTGGGAGTAGCTCAACGACGCGGGACGAGAACGTTCGAAATCCGACGAAATGTTTTTAATCCAATTGTACAATAATTACCAATCGGTGCTCATGAATGTGCATATAAATATGTATGAACACGTATTGTGTTGTAAGATAATATGAAAGAGAGAGTAAAATGTGATTTTTTGTATTGATTCTTGCATTAGCCCTTTAATGTTATACAAGGGAAGTATTTATAGTGGTACATGTGAAATGGCAGCCCTTGAATGAGGTGGCACGTTGCCTCATCTCTTTAATCCAAACATCCAATCCTAGGCATCATCCTTGACTTGTTAGCTTGCTGCGCATTTATTGCTTATGCAGAACCCCCATACTAATGACAAGACTTGACATGTGGACTCATGATAAACGTTCCATCAACCATTCAAACAAGATATTTATGTAGAAGATCTCTTGGGAGAAGTGATCATGGAAGACGTTCCTTCATGGTTCGGAGGCTTCTTCTTTAGCTTCGGATTCAGGGCTTCTGCCACTCATGTAGTACTTCCGCTTCAGGACTTCGCTATCTTCACAGGCCTTCGTATATGGGCCTCGGCATGTGGAGTTCGACTACTTTCATAGGCCTCGGTATATGGGCTTCGGCATAAAGGGCCTCGGCCATACAGCCCACTTCGGCTAGAGTGCCACGTGGTTCGGATTGAGTGGGCCATAGGCCCACGTAGGTTGGCCAAGTATGACAACACGTAACAGAAATAGCTACCTAGGATAGGGTAGTTGAATAGAATTGAAATCGTAAGTTTAAATTACTTGTATTATCATTTGAAATTATGCTGGGGAGATTTGTCAAAAAGGTTCTCAATCTATTTAAATTGCATAATGTTACTCCCCAACCCAAGTTAATTAACAAGAGTAGTTCCCAGCATATCGAGCTTTATAGCAAATTGGTATGGAAACCGTCACACGGCTACTAACAAATATTAAAAGGAATGTTAGGTTGATTTTCGCACACTTGACCAACTTTTTGTAAAATTGATAAATTGGAGATTAATCTTCACAATAACTTAGATTCAAAACTTCAATTGTCACAGCTGGAGGTGCGTGCTCGATCAATACTACAACCTTTCATTTATGATATAAACGGATATTTTACAATCACTTACTCATTGTAAAATTAGCTTAAGATCAATGCCCGGCCTTGAAATTATAGCCAAGCTTAACCTAGTTTCAAATGGGCTGTCCAAAATATAATGAGGCTTACATATTAAGCCATGATTTGAAATCATCAATATGTTAGCATTGTAGGGTTGGGGTTGATTGTCACCTAAACTGGTGCTACATGCTTAATATTACTCAAAATGGGTATGTCCAAAAAAAAACTTGAAGTTTCTTTCTTTGAGGCAACAATTACAAAGAATGAATAACTCCAAGTTTGTCAAAAGTTTTCTAAATATATTATGCTCACGCAAAGTGTCTCTCCGAGGAAAGAAATGCTACATATAAATATTTTCTCTTTTTTATACATATAATTATAAATAACTAATTATATATATTTGGTGCAATTCAAATACAAGTCAGTCGTGTATGGCTAAATTTACTTTGACCCTGGGCAGCAAAAGTCATCTACAATAGTCAGTCGTGTATGGCTAATTAGTTTTCACTTTTCAACAATAATTTTAAGAGCCGTGCTGTGTGCACAGCTCAGTACACAGCACGACTTACAGCCCCCTCATTTCGAAGGGGGGTGGGGGGAGGCCAATAAAAAATGGCATGGGCCCTACAGCACAGTGAGGGGGCTGTACATGTTCAAGGTGCTGGACAAACAGCTTTTTCCTAATTTTAATTTGTGAGTAGTACCGTTGATATCGAGAAATTGTTGAGGGGTCCACGTTAGCCGTCAAACATTAGATATATGATTTCATGTTTGCAAAGCACTAATTCAAAAATTTGTTTCAAAATGAAAAATCAGGTACAATATATGACTAATCATACTTGAGTTAGTAGTTAACGATGTTTATTGATAGATGACTCAATTATCTAAGTTTTGGTCGATAAAAACACCCATCCCTACTCGCAGCATACGGTCCATATCATTTTCTTTATTTAAGATCTTCAAGTCTCTTGGTAGCAAGGCTACTAATATAAAAGATACTTTGTCAGATAAAAGGGAACAAATATTGTTGCTTCCTTTGGTTTCTAAGAATGCATGAGTTGAACAAGTAAAAATTTTGCTTTTTAGAATGATGAGGGCATCAAATTCATCTGTTATCTGCTTTTGTATTTTATACTTCACTTTCTTCTTTTGATTTCCGTTTCTTTGTTGGGCCAAGAGAAGTGAACCATACCGAAAACAACAAAAAGGCAGGTATATCGTTCTTTCACATAATATTGTCTTTTAATTTTGTGACGAATATTTATTAATTGTAATATAGGATCCCTTTTGTTCATATCGAAATCATTAGCTCGAAATCATTAGCATTTATCATCAATCATGCCCCCAGAGAGAGAGGAACACAAATAAGTCGACAATTTGACAACATTTCTTTGGCAGGAAGAAGACACTTTCTTTAAGAATTGGGTTTAGTACTTGCATTGAATATACTTTGGTTGAGTTATAGGTTTGTAGAGTGGATGGATTGCTGTTGCGCTGGAACAGAAAAATATTCAAAATGGTGAAGAAGAGCAGCTTCCTTTTATTCCTTGCATTCTACATCCAAGGACTAAATTAGAACAACATAACACTAGAGTCAGGCTAAGGCCTCCACCCCTCACCCCAAAGCAATTCGGGCACTACAGATTCAAGTTTCTCATTGAGTGCAAATGAACTACAAGTTTCTCCAGAGCCCTTGAAGGAAAACTAGGATTTGCCCCCGATATCTCCACTGAAATTAAAGAATCGATTTGTGTGAAGTAACAAGGAGAAACTGGAAACACGGATAGTAATAGCTTTTCAAAGAAACATATTTATCAAACCCTTTCACCCCTTCAATTGAGAGTGGATTCCAGGAGAAGGAAACATTACTGAGTAACATATTTGGTAGCCAAGTGAAGGACGATGGATATTTTACACGAGAGAATAATCCGAATGATGATGAAGATGATGCAGTGAAATATGGTAGAAGAACAGGAAGGGACCTCAATCGAGGAAGAGAAGAAAGAAGCTTAATTATAGGCTATATGCTCATTAGCCTCATCAAACAACAATGATTTTGAATCAACCTTGAGCTCATAAAGAAATTTATTTAGTGTTTAACGAAAAAGGAAGAGACGGGATTCTGAGTATTAATACAGAACAGTAAAACCACAAATGATCAAGTATAAAACCAGAATCTCATATGAGATTCGGACATGAAGGCAAGAATCCACTGTAGAAAAATAGCCCCATCATTATGAGAAAATGAAATGTTCTTGATAGTTATGACGTCGCTCTGCAAGAGAGAATCCTGCAGTCCAACAAAACGCACTTTCTCATCACTAGAACTCATCGTCATCCTCCTCAGCTATATGCTTAGCAAGCTCTTGCTCTTGCTGTTGTCTCTCCCTTCTCTTCTCTGCACTTTCCTTCTCTTTGTGGGAATTAGGAGGGAATCGAAGGGCACGAACTGCCTCGTTATGCATATTTAGGCAGAAAGCAATTCTTGAGTTGAAAGCAATTTGAGGCTCATTTGTGGAGTAGATATCCCCAGTTTCCTTTGATATCATACAGCCATTAGCATGATCTAGTGTGGCATCAATTGCACCATCGCGAATTGCTTTGGCTACAATACTCTCAGCATCAGCAACAGGGTTTGCAGAATCCAATTTCAGCTTTTTAGCAACATCAACAAGTGAGATCTGGGAGTATGAGATACTGATGTTGCGGAGCCCAGTTCTAATGACATTATGGCGCAGCCTGACAATTAAATTGTTAGTACGGTCTGCACTAAAAGTGTTAGCAAACCTCTCAGCAACGGTTTTAAACAGCTTCAGATCTCCAATCCGAACAGCCTGAAAATGCAGACATTACTAGAAAAGGTCAAATAAAGAGGCTCAGGGCACAATAAACAACTTTATCTGGAAAGATTTTCTAGGCATAATGTTAACAAGAAGGATAGCTACAGAATTTTATCATAAAATCTATTCCGTCACCAGACAGTAAGTTGACAGCATCCATCAGCTCAATAAGTTAACTAGTTAAGTCTAGGACAAATGTGGGATCTTCAAGTTTATGACTCATCAATTTGTAAGAAAAAGTTTTCAAATTTAATACACCATACTCAGAACTCACATTTGTAAGCTCAAAGTATGGCCTCAAAGCTTTTTCCATCCCTTTCTGCATAAAAACAGTTCTCTCGGGAATCTCTCCCAGTAGTAAGCGAACAATAACAGCCCACTTGTTGCATTGAACTCGGAAACCAAGAGCAGAAACAGGTGCTTTCCGTGCAGCTTGGAGAAGGGACTCTTTAGCATCAGTGTACTCCAACTGAATTGTCCTGATCTTTCCAAGATAAAAGAGATACCGGCAAAACTGAAATAAATGGCAGAGAAGATCAGAATTACGAGCTGCGTGTAGATATTCAAAAGTTGATTCTGCACTAGTCATGGTGATGAATTAAGAACGAAACCAAGTTATGGAAGAACAACATTCTCACACATGCCAGAAGGAAGCAGACAAACACATTATAACCGGTATGCAGATATGTCAAGTATTTATCAATATTTGAATCCAAAACAGCACAAGAGGCACAGAGTCAAATATAAGAGTATCATCACAAAAGCTGAAGTGCCCAATGTTGTTGCCAAAACACCACAACATCATCTGCTTACTACCCTAAAAAATTATTAACCTTTTAAACTGTGCAAGTCCCTAACAGATGAAAACAAATTTCCTCTCAGATGTAAGAATTGTGAGCTATGCCACTATTGTCATCTCTCGGTAATAATATTACAAACACAATTTGATATTTATGTCTCACTATAACTACAGATAAAGGGTAATGCAACAATCTCAACTCAAATATGGAAATCAACAGTGATCTTGCCGGACAGAGAAAATAGAATAAATAGAGTGGGAAAGAAAGGAAAAAAGAAATGGAAGCATATTTCTTGAAGGTTGATATAAATAACTGAAGGAGCATTAAGCTGAAAATTTGCCTGCTGATTTGAATGAGCTTCAAAACGAGGAGCCTTTGACCTCAGTTTCTCCGCTTGATCATATAGGTTGTAGTGGAGGTAATTCCTTAGCAGCAGATTAAGAAGTGTTTCCTGCATTTTTAGCATACACAAAATATGAGAACACCACCACAATAACAAACTTTAAGCTTGTCCATTGAGAGACAAACCTGTCCCAACTCATCATGGCGCAATGTTGCAATCCGATGCAAAGCAAGGAGATTACTGTTAATAAGTGAGGATCTCTATGAGACATTAAAATAAAAAAAATAAAAAAAGAGATCCAATTATAAGCAAGAAAAGACGGGAAAATAACATTCAACTTTTTTTGCTCCCTTTTGCTCAGGTTGTTTCAAAACATACAATATGCATGTGTTATCCTCAGGTCAGGCATCATAGGCATTGCAAGCATCTAAGAACTGGCAGAAATATAAGTCATACCCACGAATTTCAGCAAGATCACCAGTAAGTTCATAGCTGAGAGAGTAGTAGAAGTAGAGTCTAGCTGCTATGACATCAACAGTTCGCCTATTCAGATTCTTTACCCGTGCAATGCCAGCCGAAGAACAGGCTTTAGCCTGAAGAACAACAAAGAAAGTTCAGAAATAGTTTCATAAGAATTACAGACATCATTAATGATATGCAAGCCTGTGGGAAAACTTATACCTCACTGTATCTCTTCTGATCAATCAGAAATATTAGAACAAGTACATAGCAATAGATCTCAAGCTCTGGCAAGGAGTGCTTCACAGGAACTTGAGTTGTCGATGATGCAGTATCAACTTCCATATCATGCTCATCCTCCTACAAGTTACATTGAATTTTGTAAAACAGGGGACATAACACGAGATACAACAACAATAAATCATCCACCTATGGAAACAGCATAATCTTTTATGATACAATAACTCGATGTGAAATGGCAACCACTTTCATCTACTATTCTTGCAACACCATATTGATGATATAATTCTGTTCAATATTCTATGGGCATATAAACTTCATAAAAAGAACTCACTCGCCCGTTAAAAAAATTGACAGAGAAAATGAAGCTCAAGAAAAGAAATTAGTCTATGTTTTATCACTTAAATTTGTCAGCATTTACACAAGTACTAAAAAGATGCAATATCATACCAGAGGAAGTGGGATTCTGAATCTTAACTATGGTACATTGAAAGAATGACCACATAATATAACAGTAGACAACTTATTAAGTGCATGTAAACTAAATTAGTGCAAAATAAGTACAACTCAGATACTGTAAATTTCAAAAGTTGTTTCTTCCACTTAATGCTCCTTTATAGACTTCTTGTACAAGTAATCACTTGATCAATTCATACACTATAGTTCTCCATTTAATATAGTTATTCATTTAAAAAATAAAAAAAATCCTGTCTTGTTCACCTTGGGAAGGTAAGAAGATAGGCGAGAATGCGCTTCGGATCCAGGTAGAAGCACAAAATTGAGAAACGCAGAGAGCACAGAAGCCTTGAACTTCCTCCTTAACTGAATCGTGGACCTAATCGCCCTAACAATCCTCCGACCCTCTCGTGAATAGGCCCCCATCTCAATCAAGGACACTATCTCCTTCAATTCTAAAGAGAGAAGGAAAACCGAAAAAAATAAATAAATAAATTTAGATACCTACCCCAGAAAGTAAATCAAAATGCATTTATAGATACTTACGCTGGAAAGTGGAGGGAGCAGCGGAGGACACGGGGTTCGAGGGGGCGGACTGCTCTTTCATCTCAACGTCTTGAGTCATTTTGGTAAATATCTGAGAAACGAATGGAATTAATCGAAATATAGAAAATACATACAAAATCTGGGGATTCAATGTTGGCTTTCCAGATTTACGGAAGCAAGGGGAAACTAGGGTTTCGATTAATTTCTTAGGCTGCAAAATAAGTAGAAAAATTACTTTAATTTCCGATGTGAAGAAATTACGAGTTTAAATCGGAACCTGAGATTCGATGATTGTAAGATTTTTTGAAGAAATCCTAGAATTCGTCTGCTTCGAGCTCAGCGGAGTTCTCTCCAGTTAATATCATGAACGACAGGGGGCTCTTTAGTCATTTCACGCATTTTTCTTTTGCAGCAAGCCATTCTCTCCTATGTGCTTTATATTTGAGATAATTACTCTTATAGTCCTCTCATTTCTGATTAATAATACATCAACGCCTCTTGTAATTTGAAAGTTTCCGAAAAGCTCAAGTATTAGAGCTTGTTTTGGGAGTAATTTTGAAAATTGATTTTTTGAACGTTAGGAGAAAAGTGAGGTCCATCTATAAGAAAAGAAATCAAATATTAAGGTTGAAATAATGAAATAACGGTCAAAAAATTAATTTTTTGAGGAGGAAAATCACTCTCGAACAGGCTATTATTATTATTATGTATATTCAAATGTGTAGTTAACAGGATTAATAGAAAATTTGTAAATCCAAAGAGGCACAATTTAGCAATACTTTTGGCAACGAGCTTGATAATTAGCACCATTTCTAACTTATTTGTCTTTTTTATTCAAAGAGACCCATGTTTACAGGTTGTTATCAATTGAAACACACATCAAATCAAATCGTATTACAACATGTTTGGTAGAGCTTAAAAGCCTTTCTCAGCTCAGAGTTTGCCACAATCAAAACTAGCCTTCTTCAACAGTGTCCCAGCCAAGAATTTAGCCAAAATATTGTCTCTCAGAAAATTCATCACAATCCCTTCACTCTGCTGTATATACCCTACCATATATGAAGTACAGATGAGATCAAAACCTCTCCATCTCCTCTCTTTAGCAAACTTTCCCAATGCTGTCTTGATCCTTTGGTACTCAATTTCTTCAGCATTCTCTTGCTTTTCTCTTAATCCTTCAGCTAAAACCCGGGCCAAGACAACGCCATCCTCCATTGCAGAACAACCACCTTGGCCAAGGTCAGGCGTCATGGGGTGTAGTGCATCCCCAGCTACACATACGTTGTCTTTACTGATATTTCCCCATAGCAACTCCCAAGGATGTCTGAATCTCAGTGGTGAACACACCATACTGTTCAAATCAGTGTTCTCAAAAACAGCCTTTATTTTATCAGAGACATTTCCAAGCTTGCTCAATACGAATTGTTTCATCCTAACTGGATCTTTCTCTATATCTCTGTCTGCAAAAGTTTTTGTTACAAAATAGTCAAATTCAGAAAATTCATTCATTGTGCATCCCAAGTTAAATGAGACCATCCAAATTTTACATTCGCCTCTGTTTGAGAGTTAGTTGCAGATTTTCACTAAAAATTGAGAAGAAATTTACTGTGGAGGTCTTAGGCCTCTGTCTATGTATTTCCATTTCTCCCTCTAACGGCTCCCCTAAAATCCTTTATATAATCAAAATATAAAAATCACATATCCACCTGTAATTGCAACTCAGTTCGAAGGAATTACTCTCCTCCCAGTCCAATATCAGGAATATAGGACTTCTTGACTACATATTTGTTACATTTAGAAGGCAATTCATTATGATTCTGAAAATCAATCTGGAATTAAATGTTGATTTCATCTTCCCATTTGAACTGCAGACAAGAACAAAAAAGAAGTGTACGAGTAAGAGTAGAATTTAATTCATTTACCTTGGGAAGAGGGACTATAGGTAAAAAACCAGTAAACGCTATGCTCATCACATGGAAGGATACCATATCTGACACCCTTTCCAAAGAATTGGGAGAACTTTGGCTCAAAACCATGGCCATCTTTAAAATCTACAAAGCCTCTAATGGCCGTTCGCCCCACAAAAGCTGGCTTACTGAAACCTAGAAATTTCGCCACCTCAGAGTTCACCCCATCACACCCAATCAAAACCTTGTATATAAGATTCAGGAACACAAGATCTAACCAGAGTTAATTAGTTCATTCGAAACTTGAAGTTCAGTTATGAGAAATTTATATCCCGATCCAAATTAGTTACCTTAGTTTTGATGACAGTTCCATCTGAAAGATGAATAGACTTAAAGAAACCTGCATCCTGAATACAGACCACCTTGGAGGAATATCTAATGGTACCTCTTGGAAGTTCATTTTCCAGAATTTCCAGTAGCGCCTTCCTGTTTACGCACCTCACATCGTGATCCCTGCATGTGGACAATTATTTTTGAAGGAAACATACCTATTTGCATCTTAGCAACTATGTCCCAACCAAAAGAAAGCTTGGTAGGTTCGGAACTTGCGTGAAATGTTTGTAAACCTTTATCCATCTAAAACTTACTTGAAAGATATTTCTGAAGTTGAAAGCCCAGAAACTACCGATGTAGTCAAAATTCTGTAGAATTCATCAAATAAAATATACTTCAATCAGATTAGAAAGCTAAAATTCAAATAGATGACAAGAAAATGTTTGAATCTATATATGTAATTACCCACTAAGTTGGTTGTGCTTTTGACGAAGGATGTCTCCAACGCCGATAGCATCCAGTGCTTTCCATGCATTAGTCCACATTGTAAAAGCAAATCCAGTAGTTCTCAATCTATCTGATGATTCCAATACCAAACTCCGGAGTCCCAATCTACAAAACCAAGTATAACCTATCTGGTGAACCACTTCATCCCAAAAAAACTTTAAATAACATGCTCCTGGAGATTTGACCAGTGCAAAATTTTCAATGAATAACAACGAGACTTGAACTCAAAATCTCTATCTACTCTGATCATTTATATAAATTTACTCTTCAACACTAGATCGTATAGAAGACTATAACATTTAACTTCTTTTTCTGGTATAATATTAAAACTACTTTGTAATCAGTCTTACCTAACATTAACATTACCATTACCATACCATGAGTGTACATCATTTTGCCTAATTGTAAACATAAAAACAAACACCATAAAGGCAAAACTACATCTGATTGATTTAAAATTAAAAATTTTTATATTACCAAGAATAGGAGTGAGCATAAATTCAGAAAAAATATTTGTACCTGTGAAGTCCTGAAGACGTGGTTAGACCAGCTATTCCAGCGCCAATAATCACTATGTCTTCCACAACTTCCATGACAAACTTTAACAGTAAACAAAAATAGGATCGACCAATTTTGAGTAGCCCAGAAATGATATACGAATTTATCAAAAGTTTTTAATGCCAAAAGTAGGTAAATGAGGATAAAGTTATAATGATATCAGCCCATACGCACATACAAGCATAAAGTTGAAAGGGGTCAATTTGCATATTATTTAAAAGGCAATATTAAGGGGAAAAAACAAAATTTATTTCGGAAACATCCAGAACAATCGTAACTAGCGAAGGCTGTTACTCCAGGGTGTTTATAGTACAAGGATTATTATAATATTCAAGCTTAACTGCTTTCGTCATTCTTCGAGCTTAATCTACTTCGCCTTTTTCAATCAGTAAGTTCTTGTAGTGGAACAAATATTGGTTGAAATTACATGAATTATTGTCCTCGAATTGAACAAATGTCGCAGTATCAAGTTCCGTGACAAACGGTCGCATAAATAAAATTTTACTGCAAGTTAGTAAATAAAGAATGAAACCGACCCTAAAAGAAATTGAATGATGCAGACAAACACGTGAAGAGAGAAATCCTCGAGGTACTTGTTCTATCTTCATGAGAATACGGCATATCCTACACTAAATACAATTAAAGGGCATAAAGGAAATCTGACCTCTGAAAGCATTGCTAGTTATCCTAACTCCTAAGCATACTCGATAACAAATGGAAATCCAAATTAACGTTAAAAACAAAGTTACATACAACCCCTCTTGAAGATAAGGAAAGAAGTAATTTATATAGAATTCATGTGGGGCCTATATTTAAATCCAAATTCAATCATAGCCAAAATACAAATAATTGCAAAGTTTCCAGTCAGCATTGAAAAGTTGATCTGCCTCGATCCCATACTAACCAAAAGAAAAACACAACTCAAGGCAAATCATTAACCTAAAGCTACAGAGCAAGCTATAGCCTTTGCAGTAGTTGGCGTTTAAAACCAACAAAGCAAGATAATATTGACTTGTATCTAGTCCAGCCATCACCCTAACATAGGGAAAAAGAAAGGCCACCAAGAAAAGGGATAACATTTGTCATCTTTTGCAACGGGCAGAGGCTGGCCCGGGCTACAGCCCGTGCTTTCTCAAGCCAAGATCTATGTAGGTTACATTTTTTTGGTTGAGCCCACTACATTTGGTTGAGTAGCCCGTGTCCAGCTGTTGGCAGAAAAAGAAATGAGACCTGACCCAACTCTTTGGCCCAAAAAAAATTTAAATTTCAATACCATATTACCATATAAACCAAACCCAAACCTAAATCCACTTCTTCCATTTGGGGCCTCCTCTCCAAACTATAAACTCCTCCACAGCTCCCCGCTCATCTTCGGTATGTTACGTATGTATTTTTTATTTTGCCATTTTGGAGTTTAATTTCTTGTATTTTTGTAACTTGGACCATTTTTTATATATATATTTAGTATTTAATATGGATTATTGAGATTTGAGAGTGGGTTGTATTTGAGAATTAGAATAAAAATTTTCTTGGAATTTGTATATGGATGATTTTCATGTTAAATTTGTGTACAAAATAACATCTATTCTTGTTATTGCTTCGACCCATATTTCCCAAAAAGTGGATCCTACTCTAATAGCTCCGAATAAATTAAATGCATGCATTATCAAGTTGGCTCAATCGTCTTTATGTTGATCCTTACGGGCCTCCTGAATTATCTCACCGATACAGGGCTCAATGGAGCCCTTTTACAAATAATCTCTCGTTGATTTTTGTTCTACGTCTTTGAGCTATATATCCACGTTTAATTCTGGTAATTGAATAAATGAAACTTTGACGAATAACTAATTGATTATAATCCCTAAACGGGTCGACCAATCTTTCCATAATTCCCGGGGAGTGGCCGAGTGGGGACATGGGTGTTGTTACGGGAGTAAAAGTAAAACCACTATGTTGGCTTTGTTTTGTCTTTTTTTTTTTTTTTTTTTTTTTTTTTTTTAAAAAAAAAAAAAAAAAAAAAAAAAAAAAAAAAAAAAAAAAAAAAAAAAAAAAAAAAAAAAAAAAATTTTTTTTTTTTTTTTTTT